TAGCTCAGTGGTAGAGCGCTTCACTCGTATCATGTCATGAAGAGGTCCGCGGTTCAATCCCGCGTGGGGGCACATTTCTTTTTTCATTTTCTCGGGTAGCCAGCCAAGCTAGCTTCCTTCCCCTTTTTTGTTTTGTGCAACGGGTAGTTGGAACCGCGCTAAGGGAGGAAGTAAGGCGGTGGCAAATACATATCCGCCCTTATAGCTCAGTGGTAGAGCGCTTGACTTGTAATCAAGAGGTCTGTAGTTCAATCCTGCATGGGGGCATCGGATATCTTTTCTTTTTTCCCTTTCCCCACCTCTCTCTATCTACTTTTATTCTGTCGCCTACTTTGTTGTGACCGTCACACTGAGGGAATAGGCATTGACCGTGTATTTATATATATATATATATATTTTTATATATTTTACTTCCTTGATTAACAAACAGCAATAAGCCTTTCCTGCAAACAACTCATGCCCATTGAGTTCCACTAGATAAAATTGGTAAATTAGTACAAAAAACCCATGAATACCCCCTGTTTCTATGTACCCGTTCCATCAAACGGGCGGCCACAAAGTGGACAGCAAAGTGCACTCTGGATGCAGCTCCGACAGTAAATCACAGTATTTTTCGACGATCCATTTTTCCCCGCGATCATCGGACAGTCCCTGCATTGTGCACTCTTCCTCAAGGTCTCTGTATCCAAGCAAACATCGCAATGCTCGTAAAATGGCGCCTGCGGTAGCATATAGCGGGCAAAAGGGAGGGTGTTTATATGGACTAGATCCTCCCCACGTTGACCAATCTTGGCTTTTAGAAGGTCGGTAATCTCTCTCCAGGGCTTTGCATCGGTTATGCCTGGCATGTAGAAAGTGTTGTATTTGATATCGTTAAGGGATACTTGTCTTCGATATGACTCCTGTAGCGGAGAAAATCCCAACCTGTCTTCAATATGCGCTTCAATGTTGGAGTGATCGAGCAGCAATTTTACCACTTTAATCTGGCCCATGCAAATGGCTGCAAATAGGGGTGTTCGGCCGAATATGTCTTTGGGGTTGGGGTCGCATCCGATCGTTAAGATGCGCTGCACAAGGGTAATGTCGCCTCGCGATGCTGCCCAGTGTAATGGCAGACGGTGGAACTCGTCTAGGAAGCTGGGGCTATTGGATTCTTTGAGAATTGCCTCGATCGCATAGTTATCTCTCTCCAAGTCAGCCTTTGTCAAACAAGATAGTCCCCAGAAAGATGCGGAGACGTTTGTGTCCCTCATCAACCTGGGGGAGCCTGCACCTTTTGCAATAAGAAGCCTGGTTATTTTGACATAACCCTTTTGTGCCGCAGCTGTCAGTGGGTCTGCTGAATGGTGTTTCCATCTATCGGTGCTGTGTATTCTGGCGCCCCAATCGAGTAACAATTCAACAGCACGCAGGTTACCATCTGCCGCCGCTGTGAACAAGGGGGTTTCCCATTGCTTGTTCTCTTGATTGATGTTGGCTCCTGCATCTCGTAGAACTTTCATGACGTGTGCATGATCGCCCATGCTGATAGTCGATATAGGACCCCGTTGAATTCCAGCGCCGCTCTTTGCTGCAAAGAATATAGGAGTTTCCTTGTTCGCATTCTCATAATGAACATTCGCACCTCGGTCAATCAGCAGACTGGCCACTTCATTGTAACCATATGCTGCGGCGTAGAAGAGAGGTGTGAAGTTCTCGGATGTAGCAGAATCGACAATAGCTCCACGATCGAGTAGAAACTCAACAACTGACTTATTACCAAATCCTGCTGCCCAGGTGAGAGGTGTACGACCAAGGTAGTCCCGAGCATTTACTGAGTTGCTGTCGACCCCGACAAGTTCTTCCATGCACTGATCTAGGCCGAAGACCGACGCGAGATGGATCCCAGAAAAACTGTAAGGAGTCTCCGACAGGCCAAACATCTCTCGCATACACCGTGTAACCTTGGCATCATTTTTGATAAATGAAGCAAGAAGCGTATCGCTGCCCAAGCTTTGGTGGAGATGCGTCCCTAGCTCTTGAGCAGAATATCGATAAAGCGGGTACTCTTGTCGATGCTGTTGACGGCCACTTTCTAAAAAGACTTGCTGCTCAAAGGCGTCGAAGGACACGTATGTGAGGCAGGTGTTTGTGAGGTATTCATGGACAGTAGGAAACCAAGCCTCCCGGGTCCGCTCCAAGTACTCCTGGGCAGTAAGATGCACGAGCTTAGCCGTGTTGTTGTTTTCGTCAACCGTGACCAATCCGCAGCAGACAGAAGCGATTTCCTCAATATCTGTGACATTCATTGCGTCAAATTCGGGCTCACTAATTTCAACCGCAATAGCATGTTGTAGCTCTAGAGCGTTAAGTGGTCGTGCAGAGAACGTGAGCCACCCGAGTACTCTTCTGGCAAGGTCCTGAGAGAAGGAGCTTTGCAGGTTGATCCTTTTCAATGTCTCGTTATACGCATGGTCATAAGCCCCTGACCCTGACTGGAACTGACCACCCAGTGCTCGGACTCTTTTCTCATTCTTCTCATCCAGGATCAAGTTGTAATAGAGACGCACAAGCAAGAATCTAGACGAGTCAGTAACTTTCCGATATCTCGGAACCGGGTCACTCACATTCCATCAGCCGATTCGAGAATCCGCCTTCTAACATAAGCCCAAAGCTCGGGCTTCCTTCGAAGGAAACGCGGAAGATAGTCAAGGTTTCCATCGAGAAAACTTTCCATGTCGCCTTCGCTGGCTTGAATGTCCAAAGTAACACCTCGAGGCAACAGATGACTGAAATAATCGCCCGGTCGGGCAGTCGCAAGAAGCTTAATCTTCGTGCGACCGCCGATGTCAAGGAGTTTCCTAGCCCAAGCGAGGAATTGACGCCTCACGTATACGTCGTTACACTCATCCAGTGCATCAACGACTAGCAGCACCTCACTGCATTCAGACACCGCCACACTGAATATCTTTTCGATATCCTCTTTGGCCAGACGGGTGGACCTGGGCGGGAGGAGATAGCGTCTTTTTGTGATACTCTCATACAAGCTTTGATTTCCCTGGAGTAACTGTCTCAGGAGGCTTGAAAGAAGCTCAGAATACTCAATCCGCTCCTGATAGTGGAAATAATGATAAGCAACTACGACACTGCTATTTAGGGAGAATTCCCGCTGAAGGTGGTCGACTGCGATCGAAGAAAGTACCGTCTTGCCTGCACCAGGAGCCCCGGTGCATAGAAGTGCCTTGCTCTTCTCATCAGAGATCCAGGAACGGAACTCTTCACTTTCCAGGAACCAAATACCCGTTCCCTCGTGTCGAGAGCTAATGATTCTCTGATGTCGTTCCGAGGCGTCAATAGGACATATCCATGCAAGCGTTTCATTGCGCTGCTGCATATCGTGGTGGCCTTTCATGGACTGAATGTCTGCTCCGATCTCCAAGGTGAGATCTCTGTCGAACCACCATCAGCGATGATCGCCCCGAAGTAAACCAAATTTAACGTTCGATAGCAGCAGTAGGGAAACCAAAAGAAGATATTGCTCATACTGATTGATTTTGCCCATTACCAAATTCCACAGCGAGAGACAGTAAGTGATGCGGCTCCGCATGCTGTCCACCTCTGCAGGGTCCCATTTAACTCGACTCCATGCTCGGACAGCCTTTGTCTTCCAGTCCGAACCTGCAAAAGCAAGCACATTGTATTTGCTCAACTTGTGTTCGATCTCCAGCAGGACTTCACGGCCTCGCTGGACGATTATATCCAGTTCCATTTTCTGGGTCGTACTGAGCCCTTCGTTAGGAACATCATTGAGGTCATGAAGAAGCGCCCATAGGCTTTTTACACTATTGATGATGGTGAGCACTGCTTGAGAAGATAAAGTGCGGCTTCTTACTCTCCAGAGATAGCTCTGAATCCACTCGGTGCCTGGGCGAACCGCTTTTTCAAGTCATCGGCGAGTTGCAAAGTAGCAAGGAAATCACCGACACCAAAGCCGAAGCTCATCGTGAACAACCAAGACAAATAACCCGAGCTCGTATGTGTTGATGGGATGCAGTCACAGGAAGGATGATGTATTATTATCAGGATGCGACGAAATGCGACCGAGCCGGAGGTGGCTGTGTTCAAGGGGGCTTAGCGCTTACGCATGACGGGTTTGGGGTACAACTAGGGAAACTGCCGTGCCGTCATGTGGAACCAGGAAGTAATAATGGCTTATAAGGAGGTATCACTGACAGATAATTATCTTGAGCACATATCAATGTTGGATGTGTTGTGACCGCTGCTTGACAGATTTCCCCGTCTGGCGATTTTGGAAGGAAAAAAGGTACAAGGTTTTCATGAGGACCGCTGCAAGGCTGAAACGCAGCCCAATCCCCCAATCGCTTGACCTCGAATCAACACTGAGTTTGTATAAGCAAGTGCTTTTAACTACTCAGTAGCCATACAAGATAGATTGTGCGCCAGACTAGATCATGCCCCCCGTTGGCCTTGCTTGCCGTCCCTTGACATGCACCTACTGATCAACAGCAACGCACAGATAGTTTGCAAATACCTGCCGAATCTTGTGTTGGAATAGAGCGAAACAGAAAGTATATTCAGAACTCTAGAGACCATCCAGTATCAGACCTCTGCTCAATCTAATTAATCCCTATAGTTTTTCGTCGCATGGGTCGAAGGGAACTACGAAGTGAAAAAGACTATTCTCATACAGGATTCCATAAGGATAATAGTCGGCAGTATAGTCTCCATGGCAAAAATGATATAGCATGCCGAAATAGTTACCTCATGATGAGTGGTATATAACTAAGTAGTGATCGGGATGACTCAATGATCGCTTGATTTACTACCAGTTCTCACCTCTCCATTCCCGTCTCTGTTCTTTCCCATCACACACACCCATCAACTACACCAAGCTAGCCAATCTATCGACCCACAAAGCAATTTACAACGTGTCCACTGTACTCTTCATCGAATCAGACAACCAGATCAGCTACTGAACATTATATACCCTTGCTTTTGAAATGGAGAGATCTCCGTTGGGACAGCTGGGCAAGCTGCCCTACGAAATCCGACTGGAGATCTACGAGAAACTTTTTGCAAAGAAGACACCCCTGACGATTCTTCGCTGCTCACGAGCAATCCACGGAGAAATAACCAAACGCCTCTATGACACACTCAACATACATCTAACTCCGGTGTTCAACGACCCCTGGATCGAGGTTCGCTGCAAACGATTGCGATTGCGATGGACCATACCCAATCATTCCTGGATTGCCCAGGCTCGATTCTCATGTATACCATACCACAAGGTGAACCTGGTGATTCATATCTACGCACCCGACCCACGCAACCCTGGCCAAATAGCTCTGCTCTGGCAAAAGGTTCAATATTTGGTGTATATTCTTCAGAACCGTGCTGTTGCTTCCATAGTTATTCGATTGCGAGAGCATCAAGGTCGCGACTGGCAAGAGGAAGGTCACGTGGTGGAGAGCATCCCTTATCCAAACAAATGTCGTCCTGATCATCACATTGTTTTCCTGCCCTTCTGTCGCTTATTCAATGTTGGTGCCTTCTGGGTGCTTCCAGATACTCGGCGCATGGACCGTGTCACTGACTGGGGTCTGATAAACTATGGTCGGGACTTCATCCTGAACAATGGTTACCGGAACTATAACGATGGTCCTCTCAGCCAGGACCGGCAGTACCGGGATATTGTCCGAGACTTTGATAATATTGACGCCCTGATTCGAGATACCGACTTTTTCCTAGAAACACGCCTGGACACTATGCGTGGTAATACCGCAGCAATGCTTCGCCTTGATCGAGTCGCCCACTGGCCTCTGGCAATAACCGTCGACTCGTCATCCAGGCTCGAACGTAGCTTGTTAGATATTCGACAGTACCCAGGCTCAGTAAACCTTCACGATCCCGGTCTGAAGAGTCATAGCCTCCGTATGTGCGGGTTCTATAACATGTACGAAATCTCTTGCGCCATATTAGACAGGGATTCATGGGAAGAATGGCTTTCATGTTTCCCTGAAGGTCTCGATCCCCATGATCAGGACAGTATCGATACTCAGACCCAAATGATCATGGACAATCCCGAAAGGAATGACATCTGGGATTCCGAAAGGGCAGATCGGGAGTACGAAACCAATATTGAGAACTATTTGGAGCGAAATTGGAATGGTTCTCCTGCATGGCGTTACCCCAGCTTTGAAAAGGACTGGTGTACCGATTGCCGACGGATAGGATATCGGACTGGGTGTGACCAAGACTGCGAGCTGAAAGATGGTCCTTACTATGGAAAGTATTGGGATATTGACAAAGTTTTTGCTGCTGATTTTTCGGATTCTGATATTTGTTAGCAATTATAATGAAATGAGTATCTACTCATAATCTAAGCCCTGTTGACAAAATTATTCTTTAGGCCATGCATACATGTAGTCTAATGGTATGGTCTCAATAGTAGCTTTGAGGGAAGCTGCAGACAAGCTAGCTTTGATCTCGACTATGGAGTACGACCAAACTACAGCCAAGGTAGTCGCAGAGGAGAGCATGATGACCTTTCTTAAATGGCAGGATGCAAGCGCTTTGTCGTAGTTTCTATATTGGTGTACATTGGTATCAGTCTATACCCCAGAAATGATTCTGTTCTGCTTTTCCTCCTTTTCTTCTTTCTCCCCCCAAGTTTCGTCTGAATTCTTTCCATAGAATCATATATTGACGCCAAACTTATACTTCGTTTTAATCTCCTCTCCACCGATATGCCGACATCAACGTGAGTTTGGCTAGTACCCATGGATAGGTTTCCATCTGATGTTCTATTAGGCAGATGTCGGCCGACGAGGGCTCGCTCACCGGAGCGGCCCAGGGTATGTTGCCCCCCCCCTCTGATAACGGCGCGCTTGGTGGCCACCTTCCGTCAAGCTTCAATCCTTGGTGGGGTCCAGAGTGGTGTACTTGGCTCCTCGTTGAGGAACCCAACGACATTGCTTTGGACCCAGTCGAGCGATGGAAGCGGCTGTTATTCCTCCTCGAGTATGGTGACTACGCGGCTCGGGTTTGGAACTTCCTGCTGAGGGCGTCCCGAGCACTGCGGTCTCCCATCCACAAATCAGTCGTCCAGCTCCGTGACAAGCTTACACAAGAATCGAAAGATTCTTCCAGCGGACAGAAAATATGGATCCCCCGGATCGAGAGATGCGTCATGTATCTCATCGATCAGGGCCTGGATATCGACCTTGTGATGGCGAAACTGGCAATTCTGGTCTATAGCAAGCGGAACCTCACTTGTCACGCTAGGATAGGGGAGATATCGAACTCTGCCCCGTTGAGGAGAGAAATCGAGAGGGCCAAATCCCGACTCCGCGAGGTCCTGCCAAGTGAACAGTTCCGCAACTATAGTGCCTGGCAACGGATTCTGGCCTTCTATGGAAGTACCCAAGACTACCCACATTTCAGAGACGGCGCTGTCTCTGACACGGTCTTGCCCGAGCCCGACTGCAGACACCAGCCCGACAACGCAAAGCGCCTTGCGTTCGAGAAGAGAGTATTCGATGATCGTCTTGACGCGACTTTCCAGACAATCAACGAGCGGATCCCGGTCACCTTTCGTCCTGTTCCCGGTCAAACGCGGACGAAGCATAGCGTGTCGGATCCGCTCCCTTACGCTCCTCGGAAAAGGCGTGCCATTGGATCGCCGGACTCCGAGGAACGTACCGATGGAAAGCCTGCCGCCTTGCCATTCCCCACCGTGGCCTTTGGAAACGTGGAGGATGCCTGTATATTTCAAGAGATATACAGGGATCTCGAATACGTCTTCGGCAAAGACCGGAGATCGGGCCGGAGGGCGCTCGAGGCGGCACGGAAGGCGGTCGGCCAAGCGCGGGCTAACGTTGATAGGTAGAAGAGGAGGGCGGGGGGTCTTCCGGGCTGAGTGCCCGGAATCACTGAGATTGATGCACACATTGGCGCTAAGTACGGCCCAATATCTATGCTCCTGTGATCTGGGCTAACTCTTCTTGACTCCGCCTCGTGCGGAGTCCCCCCCAGCGATGAGCTTGCACCTTACCGTGGTGCTGGGGTCCAGTATTCCTCCGAAAGGAGGAAGAAGCTAAGACAAGCTCTTTCGTAGAACATAGTCTCGTAGCGTTTTAGTAATCTGTGATTCGGAAATGGCTAAGTTGCTGCAAGCGCTACCATGCCTATTCTGAGACGCACAGCTGTTGCATCTGGTATCAGCCGCAATCCAGCCTTGGGTGTATGCAAAATATAGAGTGTTATGAGGCTAGGCAACCTCGTATGAAGTGCTGCCTGCAGAAGATGGTATCGGTCGGCTCCATTCTTTGCATTTTTATCCTAGACACTGCGTGCTTTGGCGGTGTCGTGTGCTTGTCAAAGCATGTGTACCCAGATGGCGCCGGGTCAGTAGTCATGAAATGGTATGTTTTGCTTGAATTTCGTCACTGCATGGTATGAGGAGTAATAGTACTGTCTACTATGCTACAGACTTGTCTTCTAGTCTTATAGTCCGATCGTTGTCAAGATATATTTACCGATACCTTCCTTGGCATCGGGGCAAGCATGTATTTCCAAGCAAGGGGATGATTGGGTATTAGGCTTCAGGCCATAGCTGCCCGGCCGCAAAAATATATATCGATTCACTATAAAGGTAGTACTACGCCACGTCCCAATCCTGATCATCATCTTAGAGTCAATTCACCCATCATCATAAGTTATATTCTCGATCATGGAGATGTCAGCTGATATTCAGCATCATGGCCAGCTATCCACCAATAGAATTGGAAGTCATGCGGCTGCTGCAGCCTGGGTTGTCCAACGCGCTTGAACCGTTGATCACTTCCCAGCTACTATCGTTCGACTCTTTCTCCAGCGAGACAATCTCCGCAATAATGAAAGTCTGGTTTAACCCTGAACTCGCCCACCACGTGCGTTCCTTCGAAGGGGAGTTTCGTTTGCGATGAAACGAACAGTGACCGTGCTTTACTACAAATGGTCTCATAATTTTGGGGTTATTGGTGTTTCGGTTTAGTCCTATGGTGGACCTCGTATCCAAACAGGTGGGCTTCAGGGTCGCTTTCTTGATTATGGATCTCTCAGTCTTGTTGTCCTTGAGCTAAGGCTCTATATCTTCTTCTTTTTCTTCTTCTTCTTCTTCTTCTTCTTCTTCTTCTTTTTTTTTTTCTTCTTCTTCTTCTTCTTCTTCTTTTTCTTTTTCTTTTTCTTCTTCTTCTTCTTCTTCTTCTTCTTCTTTTTCTTTTTCTTTTTCTTCTTCTTCTTCTTCTTCTTCTTCTTCTTCTTTTTTTTCTTCTTCGGAGGGACCTAAGCCCTCGCTGGAAGAAGGGCGGGACTCAAGCCCTCGTTGGAAGAACGGCGGAGAGGTGAGAATATTCCCGATCTCCCGCGAAATAATCTGGCATTCCCGTTAACACTTAGCCAACAACTAGAGTTGAAACTTCACCAAGCCCTTCAAATATAGCTGACGAGACCATACTCGCACAATTTGCCAATATCCCGGCTGCCAACCACCACTGTGTAGGCGCAGTCTCGTTACCATTACTACCGTCCTCAAGCGATCCGCTACGTCGCCGAATTCATGTTGCAAACAGGCTTGCTCGGGCAGTTCAGCCAGGTTGGACTCGATCCAGACCCCGAACAGACAGTGCCCGACCCAAACTAGGAACATATAGGCCTCAGGGCCATGGGAATAGACGCAGAAGACGCTGGGCAGAAGGGACGAAACACGCCCTGTTTGAGCCAGCAGGGAAGGTCAAACGTGCAGAAGGAACAGGCATGTTGAGAGCAAGATAATGGACGAAGAACGGAGAGGACGGTGGCTCGCAGGCAGCCAGCCGGCTGCGAAACTCATTTATATCTCTACTTTTACTTTTGTTGTTTAGTTGTGTTTAGCTACGGCGACGACCTTCCTACGTCGTGGCAAGCGTTGCTTACGTTGTTTACTGCGAGTTTAAGAGATCTTTGTATAAGCGTTCGGGGCCATATTCTTTGCCTCAGACGGTGAAGCACCTGCATAGCTAGCATCTCACTACGCCGGTTCGATCGGGTATAAGAATATGAAGATGAATTGAATTGAATTGAAACTACTACCGTACTTCCAGTGACCATACAACCACTCCCACCAATGGCATCACAACTCTCACACCAATCCAAACTGGCATGACAGGGGGATGGAACAGGCTCGACCTCATTCAAGTAAGGAGTAGAGGCTGCGGCATGAGTAAAGGCTAGTGTAGAGGCAGCCTCGCCGGTGTGGCGGTAGCACCTCCTTCCTAGCAGAGCCCGACCAAGAAGCCACAAACATGTAGGCCTCAGGGCCATGGGATAGAGCCCTGAAGATGCTGGGTAGGGGGAACTGAACACACCAGGCATTTAGTCACCTGGGGAAGGTCAATCATATCACAAAGGAAGAAGCAGGACAAGCACAAAACACAGCATTTATACTACCATACGTCACGAAGCTTTCTAGCTGGTATCTGCATAGTTATGCAATTCCAATTACAGGGCAAAAAATAAAAATAAAAATATATGTACAAGAACTAGAAGTGTTATCCTGGCAACTCAACCACCGTTATGTGAAAATAGCCAGTTTGCACCAGATTGCGTTTCGAGGACGCCCAACAGCCGAAGCTTAGACAGAAGGCCATCCACCAGACCAGTTAATGACATTCCAGCCAAACTGCTTGTCGCCATCAGCATAGCCGATGTCAGTGTTGAGGTAATGGTAGTAAAGGATTGGTCCGAATTCAGGATCATCAAAGACACCCTGGCCACCAGGTGCGTAGACGTTATCGTGACTTTCCAAAACGGCAGTGCCGCCATTAGACTGGCAATCATTGTCATCTTTATCGACCTATTTGTTTTGAATCAGTGTTAGATAACAAATCACCAGAATCCTTCTCCGGAGAAACTTACAAATCCACCAGTAGCCTTGGTGCTGCGACAAACCATAATCTTGTACTCCTCGCCAGGGGCCGGGCGATCGGTGTCAAGGCCGCAGCATGTACCAGAAGAGAAGAAGAGATAGTAGTAGTTACCGTGCTGGTACATGTATGCTCCTTCTTCGGCCTGACTTCCCGTGGAGTTGAAGGCAAGGTTGTATGCAGAGCTGCCAGCAGTCTTGGTTCCCGCTGCGTTCATCGGGACTTGGTAGATGTCGTCGTAGAAAGAGCCAAAGTTCATGTAGAAAGCTCCATCGGCTTTGATGAGGTTGGCATCAATGGCATTGTAGAGCTTGCCACTGTGAGAAGAAACGCCGATCGATCCGTGATCAGTCCAGGTGTTGAGCTCCATGGTAGGGGAGGTGGCGAGGCCGATGGCAGAATTCTGGGTGCCGAACGTGGAGACCGCATAGAATACGTAGTAGGTTTGTTCGATGTAATGAACATCGGGTGCCTTTATTGAAACAGAGTATTAGCAATGTGATGCGAACAGTAGCGTAGCGTACAGTCAGAACTTCGCAACTTACCCACAAGTCTGTGTTTCCAGCGAGGTTGATCCTTGATCCAGCCGGGACAACAGATCCAACCCCTTCCCAAGGCCCGTTCAATGAGTCCGAGGTGGCATAAGTGATCCCACCACCAGTGGAAAAGCGAAAGTATTTGCCATCGGATACGCGGCGCATAAGGCCAGGGTCACTAATGACACACAGACCCGAGCAGGGCTCAGGGTTGGCGTAGGCATAGGCCAAACCGGGGAGGATGGTGAGGGCTGCAAGACTCAAAAACATAATTTGAGAAGGAGGCGGAAGGTGATGTAGTACTTAGGAAAGTAGTGAGGGGCCGTCCCCAAATAAATAAGACCATGATTCTCAGCGAAGAAAGGGGTTTCTAAGTGAAATATCTCTCCTGAACAGCCGTGTCCCCCAAGCACCTTGTATCACCCGGAGACAGGCAGGTGGAGTATGTTCAAAGCAACTGTACCCCGTCTGATTTCATGTTACTTTGGAAATATCAACGAATTGCCTAGGATGCCGGTGCAAACCAATCACCGAGAGCTGACAGGGCTATGGAGCACCGTGTTCAGTTTTCGCGGTCTCAAATTATGAAGGAACAGGCACGACCAGAGACCAAGGGATCCACCGCATGGTTACTAGGAAAGATACAAAGCTTAAGGTGGCCTCGATTGTCTTCAGTCGTATGTCAAGTCATATCCAAATTTGCTTTGGTTGCACTTGTACATACAGGGTTAGGGGGCCAATTAAGTTTAATATGTTTGCATACAGTCGCGATAGCCCATTGGATCTGCTTAATTTCGCGTTTGGCAAAATCGAAAATGCAAAACCCTTCAGGCTACGAGATTCTTCAAATCTTAACCTCGGATCAGAAAGTGCCGGCATTATGTCTCCCTTTCCGCTATAATTTTGTTCAACCGTGCATTAGGCGGTGGGATTGCCCATGTCACCACAAATCTCAAGAGTGGGCCAACATAGCTGGATAGTACTGTGGATAGCCTACTGTTGTGCCTGCGAAAGTGAGTTTCAAAGAAGTACGCTCTGGGCCATGATATTGTAGAAATACATCCTTTTGTACCTTGGAAGGGCATGATCAGGCTCACTCTTCTTCGGCAGTTGGACAGCCGACAAGCATAGAATAGGGCTGGTTATAGTGGGGGGTGTTTCTTCCGGTAAGGATTCATTGGTGATAGGCGTTGCAACGAAGTGGAACACTTTCATGTCCCTGAAGCGCCACAATCGTAAGTGGGTACTGCGTAGGAGGCGGAAGTAGGATCTAAGTCACCCGCTAAGACCAATTCACTCCGAGTATGTCTCAGATTTAAAGCCAGCGGTGCTACTGGTGCTGCTACCGCATACCCTGCCTTCGGAAGATAGAAGAAGCTAATCTCGCTGTGTTCACGGCGATGCCAGTTCTTGATAGAAAAGGTTCGATGCTTACTTCCATACGAGCAATTCCAGCATCAAACAGGCCTGTGTCTATACGTAACGTTACTATCGGGTAAAAAGAAGTCGAGAGCCAACCTACATGGGGAGTAAAAATCAGCAAAGTAGACGGTCATAGACGTGGTCAATAATGCAAACAGTCTAAACTAGTCAAACACTTCTAGCGACAGGGTCCAAGTTAGGATCGGCCAATTATAGGCGATCACTTTCAGCTATGAGACGATCGCAAACATCAAGGGTTTTATCAGTGGGCCTGGGGCTTACAGTGCGCACAGCTTTCCCAAAAGGGTATCGGCCAAGATGTAGCTACTGGTTAGAACTTTCAACCCGAAACACTAATCCTCTGAAGATAGGTACGGATACGGAGTGCATATCCACTTCTCACTCGGAGCTCCACCTTTCACTGATAAGCTTCAGGCTCTGCCAAGCTAATCAATTTATCCGGGTATACATCGGACTGCCCGGATGTAAGTCCTTACTGTCCCACCTGATCTAGAGAGATATTACTCACATGACAGGCCTATCTGACAGGCAAAGGGTGAGATACATTGGGAATCCGTGAAGGTGTAGCAAGTAAATTTCCGCTTTATAATCGTCCTCGGAAAGCGATCGTGCAGGTGAGTATAATGGACATGTTATGACGGCCAACTGAATCTTTCGCCTGCTGCACCAGAACGGACTATCGGAGGTCAATCTGTCCCTGACTTCGAAAGCAAGTCCACTAGGCTGGGCGATGGGCTCGGGTCATTTTGTGGTATATAGTAATATATAGTATAGTATTTTAAAAAAATTTTACTTGTTTTTGTGTGTTTTTTCTAGCAAAGATTAAATAAAAATAGAAGAGGTGTGTAAAAGCAAGTATTTAAAAGAAATAAAATTAAAGATTAAATAAAGATAGAAGAAGTGTGCAAAAGCAAGTATTTAGAAGAAATAGAGGCAAAGATTGAATAAAGATGGAAGAGGCGTCATCCTTGCACTATGCATAGCCCTGGGATTCCCCAAACCTTCCGAAATATCCAACCTCAACGGACAAACCAAAACCAAGTAGATAGAGATTCCATTTCTCATTATTCAGTAGCCATAATCTCGTCTCCTTCCTGCACTTCCTTGTTCTTAACGTAGGTCGTCGGCGCACCGGGAGGTACGAGATAGCGCCGGTAATAATTTGGCAAGGTTTTCCCCAACGTCTTTATGGAGGGGCTGCACCTGACATTCATTCTCTGGTATTTCTTATACTGAATAAAGTCCATCTCCTTCTGACAGCCACAGGAGAATGTAATTTGGAGATTGGTGCACATGTTTATAGATTGGTTCTGGAAGGATGTGAAGATTGATCGGTCAAGGTGCGATTTGACGTGAAATAAAGATTGAGCGGTGGTTAAGCTGGTTGTAAGGGTTTGAGTGAGCTTTGGGGTGTCGAGTAGTCGTGTGCTTGGTTGATCACTAGCGGGCTATACACACTTTGGTGACAGTGTTAGTATGTTCCGCTGATGACAGGATTCTGACGCGGTCATTCGCCATTCGGCTCTCTAACTTTTCTGGCTTTCGCTGAAAGCTCGCACTCTTACTATGTCCATTAAACGAACCTGGGGTCTAATCGTGGGGAGTATGAGAAGGCTCTCCATCATGGACAACGATAAGGCTGAAGAAGCTTTAGAAACGCTGGAACGGACCTGCTCTATCCTATGGAACGCTAAAACTGGCACTGTTCCAACTGAAGTACTCGCTCGTCTGCCGCTGTCACTTGTAAGCCTTGATCACCAGTCTGTTACCTCAGGGCTGAACGTGCCTTACTTCATTCCGTGGAAGGAGGGGGATCTACGGCGTTACGAAAGAAATCTTGCGCCCGTGGAGGGAAATGAGAGGATTTCATGTGATGAGAATGTTCTCCTAGATGGATGTCGGATGGGATACAGATTGTCCAGACCATGGGGTAGCGGTGGGGAATGGGCGGAAACAATGTGTTCTCGTTTGCTTACAGAAGTGGACATTGCACCCCGCAAAGGCACTCAGGGTGATATGCTAGCCTTGAAGTCGGTGACTGGATGGAGACACCATATGTGCGTGCATTTTCTGCGTCCATGCTACGAGCCTGACTCACTTTATGCGTGAACAGCGGGATTCCTGATGACTCCCCAATTCCACAGCCGTGGTACATACGGAGGGAATGCTACCAATGGGGTCCATATTGTTACTGGACATTGCGCAGCAACAAACACCCACAGTGAGTCAGGTGAGGAGGTAATGGTAATTTTGGTTTGTGTTAGTCCGGGTCACTAGGTAGTGTATTGTATCCTCTACTTTGTTCTTTCCCCATTCTACTTGATTCTCTTCCTGTGACCCGTCCCATACCTCACAGCTCTCACTCCTCTCCTACTTCCCCCTTCTCTACTCTTACATATCCATCCTGCCCCCCTACTTTCATCGTTCTGGCACTTTTCTCATTATTCCAGAAATGTGAAGCTTGATTTTTCGCGGGACGCACAATCGCGCGGCACGCGATCGCGTGCCATTGTCGCGCGATTGTGCGTCCCGCTTCCGTCGATTCTGTCGCTTCTGCTCCAGACAGGGGCTTGAAGTGAGCTCTGCTTTAAGAGCTGTCCCTTATGAGGCCCACCCTTCTTCGAAGAAGGGTGGGCCTCATGGGAAGATGCCCAATGCAACTTCCCCACCCTTTGTCAGGGGCCTCTATGAACTTTCAGTTTTGGTATCGCACCGGCCTGGAACTAAGCCTCTTCATTTGGGATCCATCCTGTCTCCAACTCCAACACACATCAAAGGATCATCGAGAATGAGTCGAACCATCATCAACCGCATGGCCTCTGATCATCGTGAGTAGACAGCCCTCTTCTGAATATCAGCTGCTCTTGTGGGATCTTCATAATTCAGGCTCCAAGTTATGACTTTAACTGACTTGATGCTAAGGTAGAGACCGTACTCTCAAACCGGCAGCCCGGTCTATCCGAACTTCTCCCCGGGACAGCCCCAATTCCCTCCAAATGCACAGTGCCCTCCGTCGAAGCGCTACCCGGCAGGCCAAAAACGATATATCGCTTCTAGTCAGCCAGGCGACGGAGAGATATCTCTCACAACACCCTCCAGCGGGATACTCACCGCAGCCATTCCAGGGCACGCCCGCAGCATCTTATGGAACCACTCCTCCAGCATTCCCCGCAAAACCTCCAACACGCACTCCTCCACAGATGGCTGGGGGCATTCCCGCCGCTGTCGAGCAGCCTGCCCATGCCTCCTGGTCTGCCGCAGCAACCAGTCATGGAGGCATGGGCAGGTAACGCATACCAAATGCAACAGATGCAACAGATTCAACAGATGCAAATGGGGCAAGCGCCCGCCTTAAATGGCCGACGAAACGACGCAGTTAGACTGCGGATGCGTAAGTAGCCCGTGATCTTCGACCAACACAATGTTGATATCGAGCGCTAACTCTAGCAATATGTCCCTGGATGGGTATACAGATCATGCAGATTTAGAAAACAGTGTACCTTTTGGAGGCCCACCCTTCTGTACAACAAAGAAGGGTGGGCCTCACCGATACCCCATGGGCCCTCGACCGCATCGAAGCTCACCCTTCTGTACAACAAAGAAGGGTGGGCCTCACCGACACCCCATGGGCCCTCGACCGCATCGAGGCTCACCCTTCTGTACAAAAAAGAAGGGTGGGCCTCACCGACACCCCATGGGCCCTCGACCGCATCGAGGCTCACCCTTCTGTACAACAAAGAAGGTTGGGCTGAGGCCCACTGAAGTGATCATGGGTGTCGGGTAAGTATGATCCAATTTCTACGTGCTGATCGCCGCGCTAACATGTTAGTAGAGAGCATGGGGTGTCGGTGAGGCCCACTGAAGTGACCATGGGTGTCGAGTAAGTATGATCCAATTTCTACGTGCTGATCGCCGCGCTAACATGCCAGTAGAGAGCATGAAATTAGTGCCAGCGCAGTAAATGCCAGGTAGGCCCCTATGTGGAGTCTCGCAGAGAACTATACTGATTACAATTCTTTCTAGCCGGTCACAACCTGTGGATGATTTGGTCTTTTTCAATACACCCCCCGACACAGCCGAAGATGAAGTCATGGTGACTCTAAGTCACACCCAACGACATCATTAAAAACCACTACGGAGAGCTGTTTACAATTGCGTTATTGCCTCACCGACACCCCACTGGCCCTCAACCAAGCCGAGGCCAACCCTTCTATATTTCACAGAAGGGTGGGCCTCGCCGACACGCAACAGTGAAGCGCAGTAGATGCCAGGTAGGCCCCCATGCGACCTCTCGCAGAAAACCATACTGATTTTGGTCTTTTCTAGTCATTCGCCGAAAAGTAACAAGTCGAAGGTCATGCGACCGGTATATTCGGACAAGGAGACAAATCCGGAGGAGAAGATGGCACATCTGGAAAGAAATATAATAGTCTGGAGCAGTTCCATACATTCAAAGCATTCTTGACTGAGGCGAGTTGCGGCAAGCTGTTTCTGCTGCAGCCCAGTGTCCACCTGGCCCATGGAAAAGCGTTGTTATGAGGAATAACTGGAGGTATATGAATGAAAGCATTTTTCGGACAACCCAGTATGTTCGCCGGCCTCTTTGGGGTGGTTACATCTCTTTCTTTGATGCATCTGAAAGGCCTACCGGTTGTTGTCTACTGCTTAGAGGGATACTATACATGATACAAGGATGTGATGACCACTCGAGTGAGTCCCGTTTGCCCCACGTACACATGGACTTCCATTTCTCTTTTGGCCCAGAGCGTACATGACGGAAGCTTGCTACGCAATTCGGGATAATGCAAAACCACATAATATTAGGCTACCTCAGACAAAAAAGGGAAATAAAAGTTTCAGCATCACACACCTGATCTTCCTGTTGATTTGTAGTCGACGCACTCCCATCAGTGCTGATTCAGTGGTTTACTGGACTGCTATCGTAGGGAAGCGAGGCATGCAGCTAAAGTACTAGTCCGCATAATGCAACAAGGGCCCTCGTACTATTATGGGGCATCAATCTAACAATAGTAGCAGTGTAATAAATCTAGTAAGGGAAAAGAATAGTAGTAATCCTACGCAGTAATCCTAATCATAGAACAATAATGGGCGGCTGCGCACCTTGGCAGCTGTTACTTGTTCTCTCAGACTCAAGATTAAAGAGAAGGTTGTTATGGGATGAGAGATAGCTTTAAGAAACGAGAGATGATGAAGAGACACGAGTAGTAGCCGGAGATTCTAAGCCATGCATGTGTAGAGGTCTTGGTCATTGTAGCCAGGCATCGCCCGATCCTTCGTCACCTGTGGGTGGTCTTCGACTCCCATCTTTGACACCAAACCACCATCATCTTGAGATCTAGATACTATATCACCTTTGTAGGTCGCTTGGTGACACGTTAGACTGTGTTCTATTCTAACTCTATCTAATCCTATCCTATTATATTCTATTTAAATCATATTTTTATACCCGACCGAGCCCGCAATAGATGATGCCAGCCATATAGGCGCTTCACTGTCTGAAGCACATAATATAGCCCGAGACCCCTTGATCCCTCAATTTTCGCAGTAACACCACACACACTTAGATCACGAGCCAATGCAAGCCACGTTGTAGAAAGCTTGCTGTCGTGACTTTAATCACAACTGAATATACAACAAAAGCAAAACAAAGCGTAGTCATACAAAACTTAGATATGAACGAGTGGCGCAGCCGACTGATCGGCTGCCTGCGAGTCCATTCTCTCCGTTATTCCTCCATTATCCTTGCTTCCAACATGCTGTTTTTCTCGTGCTTCTCCCGCCTCCGGAAACCCATCGCGAATAACTGATAGGGGGACTCATTGATTGAATCTGGACTTCCCCCCTGCTGCTAGAACCATTGATTGGTGCAACCCGTGGGTCGGTACGGAGTCCTAGTAAATACGGAAAACTTGCAAGCTCTGAAAAGCAGCTCAGCTCGTCCCGTCTGTGAGATCGAGTCACCGTTGATACAGAATATTGAACCAACAGGTTGTTTTGACGGAAAGATCTCTCGAACAAGAAATATCATCACCTCGGGCTAAACTCAGGACACGGGCGGCGAATGGAATACTGGTGTCGGACACCAACGCGACATTGCTAAGTTCGGGTCTTGCCATTTTGGTGTCCAGAATGTTGGCGTCACCGGCGATGTCACTTATCATACTGGGAGTCAGGATATTGTTACCATTATTAACGAGGCAATCTCCCAATATGCCTCTCTAATGGCCTTGTCTGTGCGAAGAGGTACATGGAGTACGTTGGTGATGCAGGTAGTCAGAAGGTCGAGTGGAGTCTGTATTTAGTAGTCAATTGCACTGACAGTTGTTGGACTATTAAATAACTAGGGCAGTCAGACCTGGTGTTTTTAAATCACGGAGGGTTCCCAACTCCCCGCTGGCAACTAGCATGAGAAGATGGTACATAGACAATCGCATGTGCCATTTAGCACAAAGAAAGAGGATAAATCAGAAGGGTACATAAATTTCCTTCCAAAACACAGCACCTCTCTCTTCCCCCCTTCAGTTGGTGGTCTCCATCACATCCCCCAAAAGCGCAATCCCCAACTTGCTCCGATCCAAGAACCCTTCCTCATCCGCCGCAATCTGCGCCGCCGCTTCGGGCGCCATCACTTTAGCCGAGAATGTTTGGAAGGCAGCCTGGTCCGCAAATGTGAGTTCAGCATAAGCATCGAAATCAAAATCAGTTTGCTGCCCGACGAGGACGGTGGCGGGCGTGAGGGCATTGCGGGTTAAGTTATTATTATTGTTTTCTCCCGCTTGAGGTTTCTCGATAGTGGTGCGCGCGATGTACATGCGCTTGTGCGATAGAGGAAAGTCATCACCGGACAGACGCTTGACCAGTTGGATGTGGGCTTCGTAGCGGTCCTTGAAGGTTTGAAGGTCGAGGCCGGGTTTGCGATAGGCATAAATGATAACACGGACGGACATTTTGGGGTATATTCTTGGGTGGATCTAGGATATACTGAGGGCGAAGACAGAGAGTCTGGTCCTTGGGAATCTGGCGTTTAACGTGGTTTGATTTGCTTGTTGGAGAGATACAGTTAGATGGGGCGATATTGGGGGAATTTTCAGAAGTGAGAGGCGAAATTGTTGGGGAGGGGGTGAGGAGAACGGCAGGTTACAGAAATCTCTTGCATTCATTTATTAACTACCTTTTCAAATTGGAGAAAGTAGTTAGTTCAAATGGGGGCTAAGTGTTGACCCGATTATAGCTTGATGTCTCGTTGGCGGTCAACAGACCCACATTGTTGGGATTAGGCCAGCTATCCATAGACTAGTACTGCGTGCACTGCCTCAGATCAACATGTCCAGAGTTTCGTGTTCCTATAATCCAAAAACAGACGCAAAGCTTGCTTGATTGTCAGGTCTTCCAGCTGAGTAACACGCATCCAGCCAGGGTGCCTTAGTCCAAGGAGTTGGCGACGGGTCCGCCATTGGCATTGCCGTTGGCGACAGAAGTTCGGACGGACGCTAGAATTGGATCAGACAGTGTAATGTCCCCCCAAGGTCCTGGGTCGAGGGAGCTAAGTCCTGGTGGCGCAGTGAAAAACATCTGGTCGGAGCACGTTGGTGTCAGGCCCCAATCAACGCAATCGGTAGCGCCTGAGCTAAGCCTCCGGGCAGGGGAAGCATAACATACCTTTGCTACTACCGGCCAGTCGGAAGGCTGTCAGCGAGTGGATGATGCCAAAAAAAACATATCGTGAAAAGAGCGGCGTGACTCTTGCCTTGGGCGGGACCAGGAAAGCGAATCGTTGGCTTCAATCCGGACGCGGTGACAATCTGCTGCTCCTTGGTCCCAGCAAATTGACCGAGAATGGCCTGGGTGATCGCAGTCAGAGGCTATATCGTCAAGGAGTACATGAACATGTGTGAAGTAGTCGCCATGGTAAACGGACGCGAGTAACCAACTACCTGTTGGCATTGTATTAGTACTATGCAGTGGCCAGTCACCTCGCTCAACTCGAGTTGAGGGCCCAATGATGCGGGCTAAATTGGCAAGTTGTACTGTCTGGTTCATCCCACGGCAAATAGAGAGATTGTCCCGACAAGGATACTTTGAAATCACCACGACTTCATCTTCGGCTGTGTCGGGGGGTGTATTGAAAAAGATCAAATCATCCACGGGTTGTGACTGACTAGAGAGAATTACAATCAGTATAAATCTCTATTACACTCTACATGGGGCCTACCTGGGATCTTCTGCGTCTCTAATGGCATGTTATCACAGAGGTCGACTGTGTTACTAATAAATCAGTTAGATAATCATTCTTCAGGTAGCGTGGCTTCGCAACAATATACCTGGTCACAGTCGTGACTGATGATACTCTGACTTAAAAGCGGGTAGGCTCGGTAGGTGGTGCACAGGCCATGTTATTTATTCTGCTGGAATAGCTTGAGTATTCGCGGGACCAAAGGCCAATCTTAGTTAGCTCAGTTAGTGAGAATATAGGATAAGGATCATAGAGCACATACGCAGCTCGGGGAATAGCAGGCGGTCTTAGCATGGTTGATGGAACACTAATCTCATCAGTCACCGAATTCCAGGAAAGAATCGCCCATAGCTAGCTTGTCAGGACGACCAATTATCTGCCACAGTAACCCCGCTCCCCGCTGACAGACTTACTGTGGTTGGCTTTTCATTGGTGAGGTTTCAGTATTGTTACATCCTGTTGAATTCACCGACCCTTGAGGTGCACTCCGCTAGGTCGAATAGAAAATCCTGTGTGATATTATTTCCCGGCCGAAGGATCTCTGGCGAGGAATGGCAATCGGGCAGAGATCAACATTTTCGTTAAGTGAGACAAGCTCGTGGGCTTGGAACCCTCGCTTCACTTTCCGTATCATCGCACCTTGTAAGGCTGAACTAGTGCGCCCTGGCTTCCCAGCAGAAACTGGACGGGCGCAACACTGCTACACGCTTCTGCCACGATGATGAGTGAACGATTCTGATCCGAGAGTACCGAAAACAAAAGATTCCTGTTACCATTGCCAGTACATGTTGAAAGGGAAAAAACAAAAAGACCCACTTTCCCTATCAGCTCAGAGGCCCGTTCTAAAGGTCTCGGTACATCATTGTCACCCAAGGTAGATCAGGGCAGTCACCATGGTAAAGAGCGTAAGCATAGTCGATGCTGCGATCATGCCATATTGTCCAATGCCGTTGGATTTGGATGAGGGAGTCGGACAAGTAACGTTGGGGTTCGCCGATCGCTCTAAAGGGCTACAGGCAAAGGCAGTCGCCGCTGCCCATATACTGGACGCCGCGGAAGCATCGATTCTCGCCGCGCATGGGTTGGTTGTCGGACTAGGCCCAAGAAAGCCGCATTCTTCCCCGGTAGCAGTCACGTTCAACGCATTGGCGTTTTGGATGCCGCACGTACCAGAAGATGTAGCTGCTTCAAGACTAGGTGCCTCCCCTGACAGGCTGACAGTGAAGACGATGTCATTGTGAAACTTGATGTCTTGAGGTCCACTGCCATTCTGGGAACAATCGGCAATATGCAGGGTCCAGGCAAAAGTCCAGAAGCCGTTCGGGTAGGGAAGGGTATTAACAAAGCGGGTAACCAAGTGAAGACCGGGAGACCAGAGGTCCGACGAAGCGAGTTCAAGAAGCCCGCCATTGATGGAACCTGGAGAAGACCGGTTGTTGCCTTCCAACAAATCCCAGGTGATGTAGGCATCCAAGCTGGAAGCCAGAGGTGAATTCTGCAGCGCAAAAACGATAGGCATCAGGGCCTCGGGCGTATAAGTCTCGTTGCGCGGTGATATCAAGTCAACTTCGAAGATACTCGAATAGATATCTGAAGTGCCATCGCCCATTGCAATCATGGAGTTCACCACCAGTACGGCCCAAGTAAGGAAGCGAAGGTAAATCATGTTGAAGGGAAAGTGGCAAACGAAAGTGGAGGAATGTAATATCAAACTTGGCGAATAACCCCGGCCGTTGGCTGTTGACCGTTGAAGGGATGGAAGATAATGAACCAGAAAGAGTGAAGAGAAAAAGAGGATAGGAGTCAAGGGAAAGTTTCCAAGCGGCTAAACGGATGTCACGGCATGATGCTGCACTCCTGAGCTGGCCCGATCCCTGCAGGCTCCGCCATTCTTGCCCAATCTAAGGGATCCGATTGCTCTTTGCCTTATCTTGTGTCATGTCTCTTCATCACCTCTCATTTCTTCCAGTTATCTCTCATTCCATAACAAACCTTCTCTTTAATCTTGAGTCTGAGAGAACAAGTAAGAGCTGCCAAGATACTCTTTGCCATGTCTTGTGTCGTGCCTCTTTATCATCTCTTGTTTCTTAAAGCTATTTCTCATCCCATAACAAACCTTCTCTTTAATCTTGAGTCTGAGAGAACGAGTAATAGCCGCCAAGGTGCTCTTTGCCATGTCTTGTGTCGTGCCTTTTTATCATCTCTTGTTTCTTAAAGCTATCTCTCATCCCATAACAACCTTCCCTTTAATCTTGAGTCTGAGAGAACGAGTAATAGCCGCCAAGGTGCTCTTTGCCTTGTCTTGTGCCTGACCACCTTATCGACGTCTCTGAGGTTATGCATCGTGAATTCCGCTTTCTGCATAAATAATATGCCTGGTGCCCGCGGATCCCTTTTCTGTCGTTTCTGCTCCAGACCGGGGCACGAAGATACGCAATGTAACTTCCTCACCCTCTGTCGGGGCCTTTATGAACTTTCTGTTATGGTATCGCACCGGCCTGGAACCAGAGTTAGCCTCACGGAAACTCCAAGAGCTCTCGATAGAATCGTGACCCGTCGTAACAGAAATATACGACGAGCTATCAGACGGCGCGAACGAGTTCGAGCAAGAATCACGGATGTTGCAAGGCGTGGGAGTCATGCTCTGAATATTAGCCGCTGCGGTCCTATCCATGCTACCGCAACGAGTTCAACATTTGCTTTCGTTCCTTCCAAACGCTTGCTTTTATGTGCCTCTTCCACCTCTATTCCAATCTTCACTTGAAGAGACATGCAAAAGCAGGAGGCTGCCAACCATTCAAGACTAATACCCAAGATAATGGTTCTAATAACCAGCTATTAATTATTTTTTATTATATGCATAAGATAGAGTATATAACATAATTTAATCAGTAGAATTCCTGTTTAATCCTAACAAGATTTATTCTAGGTGCAGGCATCCTGCAAGAGCACTCTGGCCGTCCTAGTATCAGGGTAATCTGATCATACATACATATATACATGGCTTAGACCACACAATACATTCATTACGTTACTACCTTACTCTTGTCACATGATCCGCACTTTCCTCTAGTATCTAGTCCTGAGCGAGGACCTTCTTTGTTCACACTCTTCCGTCATTCCTGTGTCCATCCATTTCTCTGTAAGTCCTGGGTATCAAGATATGCCAAAACTCATTCACTTCTTACTTCGCAAATCCCGTCCTTGCGCTGATTCTATTTATCCCTCAGGGCCGACAATCTATTTTACACGACCAAGATTGACGTTTCTTTCAACCAGTCCTGTTACTTCGTCACCTCTCAGCTCTTAGAGTCATCACCCAATTCCTAGAGCCCTCTCCTATCTCAGAACCACTTTCCCTTTCATCTTGAATCTGAGCGAACAAGTAACATCGCTCAAAGCGCCTACTCTCTTGTTTTGAAGAGATCCCGACCGAATCGTGACCCGTCGAAACAGACGGCGAGCTATCGGGCAGCGACGAAATGATCGAGCAAGAACCGCGAATGTTGTGAGTACTCCGTGAGCCGAATTGTTAATCTTACACGGTACTGAGTATATCTGTTCAGGCAAGGCGTGGAAATCATACTCTGAATATTATATATACTTTACAGCTATTTGCCAGGGGTCAGTCTTGAAGATATGCTGTAGCCATACGATATAGAGCCGCCATGGTCCTATCCATGCCGCTGCAACATTGCACAGGTAAGATACATGATTCTTTCCTGGACTATGGTAACTGATGAGATGAGGGTTCCATCAACTATGCTTAGGGTCTTTAAGAATTACGAGCTGTCGGCGCAGGATCAGACGCCGAGCTATCAGACGGCACGAACGTGCTCGAGCATGTTCTTGCTCGAGCCAGAACTACGAATGTTGTGAGTACTCCGTCGGCTAGGTCCTTGGTATTACACTGTGCTGAATATTTTGACTCAGCAAGGTGTGGTAAACTGTTTCTACAGTAGCTGAGTGTCCACCCGGCCCATGAGAAGGCGTTCTGATGGAAAATGTCGTGAGCCGTCGGAGCAGAAATAGACCGCGGGCTATTAGACGGCACGAACGTGCTCGAGCATGTTCTTGCCCGAGCCAAAATTACGCATGTTGTGAGTACTCTGTGAGCTAGGTCCCTGGTATTACACTGTGCTGAATATTTTGATAGTACTCATGTCACCCCTTGTCAAAGCTGTCACAAAGGTCACCAACATCAAGAAGAACCTCAAGAACAGTCATCAGTCGCGCCAGAGGCGTGGGCTGACAGACATGGAGGCGGCTGGGGTCGAAACAGCACATAAATTGGTGGCTATGGCGCACAAGAATAAGGCTCAAGAAGATGCAGAATTCGCCGATTGACTAAATCGATCGAGGAAGTTGCTGCGTTAATAGTCAGAGGTACTACATTACACATAGAATATGATATGTACAGTCATCAGTCGCGCCAGAGGCGTGGGCTGACAGACATGGAGGCGGCTGGGGTCGAAACAGCACACAAATTGGTGGCTATGGCAAACAAGGATAAGCTCTAGTAAATATATAGAGCTGCAAGAAGCCTGCTAGGATTCTAATCTTAGCAGTAACCAGTGCCTAAATGGCCGTTCTAAGAACATATACTGGTAATTCTTCTTACACCACAGCTCTGCTTGTACTAGCCTGTAACATCTATGAAGGACAAAGAGTTTACAGCTACACAGTGCCCATTCTCATATTCAATGAAATAAGTCAATACATTGTAGACGTTATTTCTCACGGTCGAATCCGCTACAGGCCCAAACGAACAATGGTAAACAACTCTCCGCAGTTGTTCTCGAGACGGGTCTCTGACACCCTCACGCTCACTAGAGATAGTGAAAGGCACCGCAGCTATAAAAGAGTAGGCTTTCGGTTGAGGACCCGTGGAGCGTCCGTGAGATCTACTCATCCAATACTGAGCCACTCTCCGCAGTGGCTCTCGAGACGGGCTTTCGACGCCCTCACTCTCACTAGAGATTTTGGAAGCCACCGCAGATATAGAAAGGTGTGCTTTCGGTCGAGGGCCCGTGGGGCATCTGAGAGGTCTACTCCTCCAATAGTAAACAACTCTCCGCAGTGGTTTTCCAGAATATCGCTCGTATGGCTTGAGTTCACCACGACCTCATCTTCGGCTGTATCCAAGATATCGGAGTCGATCGAATGATCCCATCCCTTCGCTTTTAGTCTTGTCGGCTGTTGTCTCTGCCTGCTTTGCGGCTCCCGAGACATACAGACATGTCTCTGAAGACTAGATGTGCATCTTGAACCATATTGACACCATATCTTGTGGATACCTAGTTCGGAAACGAGAACACCCGAGACCTTGTGATCGATACCTGCGCATTAAGGCACGGGGCCAGCAGTCTTCTCATGAGGGCTTCTCCTTTCCGGCTTTTTCGTGTTTCTACTGTCCAACAGCCACTCTCAACTTCGTGGTTCTGTTCCGAATCATCCTACAGCCTAGTCGCTGTGCCTATTGCCGAAAAAGAGGAGGGCAACCCCTCTCCGACTCTATCCTACTCACTCTTAAAGCTTCCTTCCACTCAGACAAGGAATTCACCCAGAATTGAATCCATACACACGAACAAGAGAACCACACGTCAAGGCCTCAATGTTTCATGGCGTTGATGGCATCGAGGAAATGGTCTTAAGGGAAGAGATCTTGGTTATCATCCTTGTAATGATCAGTCGACTGGAGAACAAAGACTTTAAAAATCATGCTGTCGTGCCTGTATGCCATCTCCATTTCTTATGGGAAAGCTTTTTCACGATTCTATATTTGCTAACCCTTCTTGCTTCTCATCATCTAGGTCATGCTATTTTCGTTCATGAGAAACCGCCGTGGTCGCATTCTGTTGGCTCATTGCCTGGAAAGCAGACTCGTTGTCGAGATGTCGCCTCTATATCCATTTGAAGTTGGAGAAGAGGGATGGAATGATTCTCTGGCCCTGTTCACGCGCTATCAGGCTGCTGGACCTTCATCAACAGATACAACCAAGTTTCTAGTACCAGTTGGGCTTGACGAAGCTTCTTAGAGCATTGTGGTATTTCCTTGGCAAACCGGAGATACTCTAATACTATTATGCTTGACATATTACAACGTCGAATGTCCTCGTCTGCCTCGATGGCATCGTGTATACTATGCCGGGGAATCTCTTGGTATACACCAATCTCTCTAGTGTCATCTGATACGAGCCATTGTGCCACGCTGTGTGTTTCGCGTGTATGGCACTTGGTTGGGGAAGCTACAGGGCGATGATGAGATCAAAGTTCTTGAACGCCAGCCTAAGCTGGGATTCCCAGTCGAGGAAATTCGAGCTCCTCACATTGAAAATTTTGCAAAGCCAACCGCAAGCACCAATAACCGAGTCATCGCGAACCCTCCTCCTAGTGTGGCATCTAAGCCAGGAGTGCCCAGGCCTGGATCATAAAAGCCTGTGGAATAAAATAATAAGAGGATCATAGTGAGTCAACATAGGCCACCCCTACCGCGCCTTATGTATACACCGCACCGAATCATAACAGTCTCAAAACGATGACCTGATCAGATAGTCGGACGTGATCAAGACTCTGAATAGTATTATAACCTACTTTCAGCCCCATTTTATTCAAGACCCGTGGAAGAACATGAAGCCTGTTGTGATGAAATTCCTTGAGTAATACTGGTAAGACTCCCATCCAGTGATTTTTTGAAGTAATTATTTTTTGTCGAACCTATTCCGATTCCGAAAAAGCCCTTGAAATAGTGTCCTAGTACTTCAAATGCCTTCGCGCCATGTTCAACTGCTCGTTTTTACTTGCGCCAATGTGTGGAGTTTCCTTTATTGTATGCCTCAAATCTCTGTTTACTGCTTCCTTGATTAACGTGTATTCCATACACATTTGTTCCCGAGCAGAAGGGCGAGACGGTGCTAGAGGAGGTACTGGCCTTGGTGGTGACAGGGACGACGCGGGAGATGAATACGGTACACTTGACAGAAATCTGAAAGTGGAATAGGACTTCCATTATACTGAGTCCACTTTTCTTGTGTACGTATGACTCTGTACCCATAATTTTCTATGTGCAACGTAGTACCTCTGACTATTGACGCATCTTCCTCGATTTCTCAGTCAACCGGCAAATCTTCTCCATCTTCTTCTGCGCCACAGCACGCAACAAAAGGTCTCTGCCCTTGACATCTATTTACGATTCCATTCCTCTTCGTCGGCGATTGCCTCGGCCATCATATCAACCAACCAGTCGGTTATCAGGCCTGTATGTTCCAGAACTCGCGGCACTATCGAACGCGGAAAGGCCAGGCCCTGCGAGAAGTTCATCCCATGGACATCGGGATGAATGGGCCACATTGTCTGCCGTCCTGCAATGAAGTGTAGTCCGATGAATGCTGGGATAAAAAGTAGAGATATCATCCAAATCGCAGTCGCGAGTGCTGTTCCCAATGGGGCCGTCACCGAGGGCGATAGAGGGCTGGGCGTTGATGTGAACGATGGCGGAAAGACAGTTGGTCAGGGTCTTTCCGGAATCCGTCTCAGCGATACCGACAAAGTCATAACCATAGAGGGCCATAGGCCAACCTTGAGGCTGGATAACGGTGGGACGGTGGAAGCCCTGGTCCTTGACCTGGCTAAGGACGTATTGAGGGAAACCAGCCTCGTCAAAGGTCTCGACGGGGCGAGGGAAGTTGGTCCCTAAATAGCCATCTCGTTAATATTGAGTGCAGGGGAAAAAAGACACTGAATGCGCAGAATAATAAGCCTGTAGAGACGACCTACCAAGGCTTAGGGGACGCAAGACGCGACAAATTCAGTCATTTGTGGATTTGCACAATGGCCTAAAGGGCCGCAGTAATAAAGGAGACATCAGTAGTTGGGGAGAGAAGGGAATTTGAAGAGAGAAACGGAATCAGATGAGGATTTAGGGGATGGGAAACCGCACCCCCAGACTGTCAGAGTCACTTGAGATTACAGTAGGCTCGGAGCTGGAGAGATTCCGGTCCGAGCGCGCGCAGTAGTACACTATATTTGTTGGAGGAGCTGTCGATAATGATATCATCTCTCTAACAACTCCGGGATCCGGCAGCAGCTCATCCGCTCGCTCATCAAAGGCAGGTCCGCGTCGTCCTTTCGCGGGAGGCTGCGTTATTTTCAATTTTGGGATCGGTCTTCACCTTGCCATTATGGCGCAAAACCGACCGACCAGAAATTCACGCCTGAAGCTGACCAAACTGGTACGAAAACATATATATACCTCTGGGTCCCTCATATCTGCTAATATAAATCTGATTAGAACTTCCCCGAAGATGTGGGATAAACATCTCAGTCAACAAACACTGCCCAGAACCCAAGTTGCATCTACAGCGAAATCCGCGAAAAGATTTACCACATTAGGCATGAGTGCTTCTATTTACTTTGGGGTAGACATGGACTGACGCGAACCTTCTTGCCAGCGAGGCCAAAGGAGATGTACCCAGGAACTTTGCGTCTACAGAGAAAGCCTTTACCACATCAGTTCCATATCTCTACCCAAAATCAATAGAGACACTCACCCCAATGTGGACCTACTGGCCACGCAGAACAGCTGCCAACCACTGCAGGGGATATATCTGGGGACTTTGTATCTACAGAGAAAGCGCCAAACAATATACCAAATATGCCATGATTGTCTCGGTACACCCAGCAGTTATGTTCTCCTTTGCTGCATAAGTTACGGAACACAAGTGGTGACAAGATTAAAGAGCCCGAGTCAACATGGCTACGAGCTTAGGACTATCCAGCTTTCAAGCCTACCTCATCTAGTCAATCTCGATGTACTTTAGCCCTTAAGGTGGGTTTTCAGACATAACTATTGTAAGCCTCATAAACATAGCATATCAGACTGTTCGTAACAGCCCCTTTTGTACTACTAAGCAAGCTCGGACCAGACCAGTACCGTAATCCTGTATTCTCGCAGCCACGATAAAAGGGTGAAGTTATTCCCAAATCCAATCGACCAATCAGAATGCTCGTCGCCAGTCCTTTGTCGATGCCTCGTGGGCGACATCACGTGTTCTTGCTCCCGCGTTCTTCATGCGATCCCTCGAAAGCTTCGTTCCGTGTGTCCACGTGAGCTCCCATGTGTGCCTGCTCGCTCCTGTCCCTGTCCAGTTGAAGACTTCGGTGGCTTTCGATAATATTGCCAGTATGGCTTGAATCTATCCTGATATTATCTTTAGCTATGTCCAGCGTATCGGAACTAAATGTATTATGAACAGGTTGCAATTGACTAGCATCCACTGTGTTATTACAATTCTCGGTGGGTTGTGCACAGGCAACGTCACTTGTTCTGCTGGGGTGGCTCGGGCAGGTCTATATTTAAAGATTGGTCCAGCTGCCGTAACGAAAGCCTGCTTGTACGTATGCTTAGTTTCTCTTCCAATGTGGTCTTTCAGCATCCGCGGAAATTGAACTTACCACACTTTGTACGAACATGGATCAGTAGTCATGCGTCTTGAAACAACCATTCATAATCTTTGCTTGAACACCTTCGTGCCGTCTTATAGTTCGCCGTCTGTTTCTGTTACGCCGGGTAACGATTCTATCGAGAGCTATTTGAGTTTCCGTGAGGCTAATTCTGCTTAATTCTTCTTCCTGGCCTAGGAACATTATATCCGGTAAGGCCACCGGTCTTGTAGTGCCTTGAGTGGCACCTCAGCTCCTCATTATTTGCTTCATTTTTTAATTCTATATAAAAGTTTCCGCTGCTTTCATTCGGTATCTTTAAATTCCCGTTTATAATAGCATTCTTTAGCTTTCCTGCCTCTAATGCAGCTTCCATTGATGTTCATTATTGAGAATGACTATAATATCCAACCGTCCTTGTCGGCTTCATCTAATAGCCTTTCCAGGTTTAGTGGTAAACCTTCTGAAAGAATAGAGAGATTTCTTTGTTATTGCAGCTTAGTAATACTAGAAACTTTAGGCTACATGCTAATAGGTAACGAGGTAAATTTGTAGCGATAGTGACACTATTCTAAAGCAATAGAGGAACATGTCGACTTGTATGTAAAGTGAGGGGAGAAAGAAGAAGAGAGAAGCGGCACTGCCTTTTATAATCTTTTCTCAGGGGATCAGGAATTGAAATTGAATTACTATGTAGTCTTCTCTTTTGAGATTACCTCGTAACATTCATCTCATCGAGACGATTCCCAGCCCAAACAAAGTGAAGCCTGTTTCCTTCACAAATTCATTGAATGACTATGAGCATCTAGTGGAACGGAGGCCGTGAAGAAGTTGGTAAGATTTTCTATCCTACTCCCTTGTCCATCACTTCTGCTGGTAACAGAGCCGACAAAACCATAGGTAGGCAAATATGTGGTGACTCTTCGCCTCCCTAGATTGCCAGCTCTGCTGAAAACGCTGGCGCACACTCTAACAAATGATAGTTCAGCTTGGCGAACGAACACATCACGTAGAGGCTCAAAGGAGGCTCAGTTCTAATGCTTGGTACCTGCCTTGGTGGCAAACCGGTCAAGCTAATTGTGTGAGATATTCGTCCCATCGCGGCATATCTCTTTTGATGAACTCTAGCTAGAGTTCCTTGTCATCTCACATCAAATGTAGGGTCTATAACTCCAGAGGTCTCTGTAATATGGGGTGAGTTTGACTGTTAGTCAAAGGGGCGCTGACGATGAACGGGGGATTTCTGCTTCAGACTCACCAGTTTCTCGGGACTCTCCACTTTAAATAGAAATGGACGAGCAAGTACATAGAGATTGTTATCGCTATCATTTGATCCTGCATAAGTGTATAGTGTTAGTTCCTCGTTGAGGTCTTCTGAAGGTGAGATTGAGCGTTACATACATTCCACGTTTTCAATCGCAGCCGTCGTGAAGAGCCGTAAAGGTGATAGTGGCGGCATGGTGGTTTACCGAGATAGACACCAAAAAGATAACCAAAAAGGTGGCATGGAAGGAGTATCGGATATAAGGAAGAAGCGAGAGGCATCTGAAGAAGGCATGTGAGATTGATGACCAGTTCATTGGCATGAACACATACATGCTGATAATGCCAGTATGACCAGAGGCTGTGTGCAGGCAACGTCATTGTTCCACAGGAATTATTTGAACATCTCTGGGGGTAGATGTTAAGCCTGATCGGCTTTGTCAGTGGAATCATAAGAGAGGGAGTGATAGCCAACTTACGCAGCAGCGGAAATAACAGGCTTTACGCCTCGTCTAAATCACAATATTCAGCACGGCGCAATGTCAAGGATGCAGCTGGCAGAATACATACAACATTCGTAGTTCTTGCTTGAGCACATTCGTGTTTTCTGATACCCTGCTGTCTGTTCCTGCTCCGATGGCTGACACTTCGCTAGAGTTCTCTGGGTTTCTGTAAGGCCAGTCCTGCTTCCAGGTCGGTGTGACAGCATAAAAGTCTGCACAATAATTAGTGCTCGCACTGTGACAGCTAGTACAACTAGTACGCCGTACAATCTTGTAAAGACCCCGATAAGATAGTAAGGAAATAGCATTGCGCGTCTTCGTGCCCTGGTCTGGAGCAGAAACAACGAAGCAGGATCCCTAGACTGGCTGTTGGAGGAGGATTTCCAACCTCTTGGCAGTACGGTAGTTGATCTGAAGACGAAGGGTTGAGGGTAGAAATCCGACCTATGTAGATCTCCAGAGGTTGGATTAGTGGCTGGAAGAGATGGTGGTCGGGGACCAGGCAGGAAGAAGAGGCGAAGGGTCAGCTGACCCTGGCTGGAGTGGATGTCTACTAAACAGGTAATCATAAGGACTGCTCTTACACGGTCGCCCGGCTCTGAAGGAATTCAGGGAATCAAGTGAATTTTAACCTCGGCTCGCCGGTCATAAGTATACACTGCATACTCCATCGTTACACCAGCTTCCTCCAAGTAATGAGGGAAGCATCTCAACTTCATATCTAGCTCCTTTCCGCAGCACTGTTATGTCCTCCGTATCACAATTCATTCCACCGCACTTGTACGCTTGCTTTCTCTGTGATCTATAATCCACGACCAAGTCTACTAACTACCGCCATTGTCAGTAACGCCCAATGAGCCTTCCTGAGTTTGCCAGTGAAAAAAACGGATTAAGTTCCCATGTTATTTTAGTTGCTCCCCATTTGCCCAGCCGGGACCCCACTAGCGTTAACTGGCAACAGAATAAAAGGGAAACTCTCCTTCTTGTCTCGAATGGCGGTTTTCAATGCCTCTGGTTCCGCCGTCGGGCCTTGAGAGGGCGTGCGACTATGTCATGAGATGGTTTCAATGGAGCCAACAGGTACTGGGATAATTAATCAGGACACTCACCGATGCAAGAGCAAGATATTGCAGAGCAGTGGTGACTGAAAGTTTCTTGCCCACACCCCCTCCTAAGGTCTGTGCTGAGATGACAGCCGCGGATGCCTCTTGCTACCACTATAGAAAGTCAGAAGCAGCGGCGATGAACGGGACTAGGACTATTAAAGTCAGTCTGATAGTGCATTGGTAGGCTTCGACGCATGCATCATCAGCGTATACAGTGCTGGTGAGGTTATTCCCCTCAGCTCTAATTGAGGTTTCGACAATCATGGAGTACTTTTTACCGTAGGCCAAGTAATACCTGCAAGCTACCAACGAGACACTACTGCTGGCTGACCAGCTGGGGCTTCAACCAGATGCAATATTTGCCGAATCAGTAATAGTCCAGCCTCTGCAGTTTGGCTCACAAATACTAGTTAGTCTGCTTGGTTACATGTCAAGAATACCGCTGACAGTACTGGGGCGAGGAGCTGGGATATTTATGAGAGCTACATCCCCGCCTGAAAGCCAGAAAAGTAGAGGATCCATTGCTTTCTCCAGACCTAAGTAACTGCGAGATCATATTTTCTCCTTCAATCTCCCTCTTTCGTATGGGGCACTTGGCGAGCACAGTTGTCGCCTCTTCACTTGGTATTTCCTTTATGCTTTTTAGTCTTCACTGTGTGTGTAAGTTGACAGGACTTCGAAGTCATTAGAGATGCGGACGATCTAGTCAGAAATAGGTGGTCGGAGTCGGCTATTAGTGAGAAGGAACTACAACGCTGGTACAATGGAGGCGGGATGAGCTAGTTGACGTCTGATAACCTAAGAGGATTGGGAGCAAGGTTGATCGGATACTGTGCAGGCAGTACACATCATACCATAATTTTCAGATAATTCACTAGAAGAGCATGCCCAATGACGTGGAGGCTAACGCGGAAATTTGAGTTTATACGGCGGTTCAACAAAGAGGAAATGACGGAAGCAAGCAAACAAGTTAGGTGTTGGTAGTCATCGCCTCCTAATCTATTTCTTCAACAGAAATCTCCACCTGCCTCCCCCCCCCCGCCTTTTCCCTTTTTTCAGTACCTTTCTCAACCACATCTTCAACGCAGCATTTAATGCGATCGGGACCGTGCCAATTGTTCTCATCACTGGTATAATCCTCATGCCTCAAAAGTCGATGGTCCTTGTAGGCCCACGAGCAAAATTAGGTGCCAACCGTGGCCTCGGCTTCGCCACCGCGAAAGAGCTTCTCCTCATCACCAATTTCCACATCATCGTGAGGTGCCGTCATTCGGCGGACGGGAATTAAGCCATCCAGGTCCTTCGTTCCCTGCCGGGATTTCAGAGAACAGTGTTGACAGTGACCTTAGAAGTGACCTCTGGACCTTCAATCGAGGCCACCAGGTCTCATATTGAAACAGCCTTCAGACGACTCGACATCCTTGTCCACAACGCAGACATCTACCTTCTTCCTTCCGAACCGTCAGCCTCGCATGTCGGAGTCAAAATACTTCAGTCAACCATAGAGACCAATGTCAGTGGTCCAGCTCGTGTGACGGAAGCCCTTCTCCTGAGGCACAGACCCTCGCCGGTTGAGAGCTCTCCTGCTCAAATCGTCTTCGTCAGCTCCTCCATGGGCTCTCTGAGCCACAACATGAACCGAAACTCTCCCCACAGTGGAATTCATGCTATCGAGTATCGCATGTTGAAGACAGGCTTGATGGTCGGAATCGTCGTAATCATACATAGTAGCCATTCTAACGCGCCGAAGACTATTGCAATTTTGAGCAACACACAATGATCTTCTTCTGCCAGACATGGATTACTCCCCACATTAACAGCAACCGCAATGAAGCCCGCAAGCCATGAGAGAAGGGCCACAGCCTCAACAATGACAGAAACAGAGCCAATCACTGCATGCTCTGCGAAGCTTTGTCAAGTTTGACGACGATACTGATGACGAAAAGAGTGGAGTTTCAATCCGCATCCTGACTTTGCCACGCCTTTTATTACCAGCTGCATGTCGCCTGGAATTCCGTTCCTTCGATCGAAACTGTGGAGAGAAAAATGGAGGAAAATAAAGAGGGAAAAAAAAAAAAAAAAAAAAAAAAAAAAAAAAAAAAAAAAAAAAAAAAAACCAAAGAAGAGGATGGCGAAAAGGGAGAACATGAAAGGTCCTACTCGAATTGTAAGTTTCTGGATATGTCTCTCTAGATCTCAAGAAGATGGTTGGTGGGTGGTTGGAAGAGATGGTGGTCAGAGGCCACGCAGGAAGAAGAGGCGAAGGATCAACTGACAGC